ACCTGCAGCATTGTTGGGAGAGAATTCCGCAATTTTGATCAAGCAACAGTGAAGGAAAGACCATATATTTCCAAGTCAGAATGGTAAGTAGCTTGGCTGGGGGTTCCCATGTACTTGCTGTCTTTAGATAACCATCATTGGTGGGTCCTCCCCCTGGAACTTTTCTTTGTAATATTTACAATATACAACTTCAGTCCCATTTTATAATTATAGGATTTTTCTTATTATTCTGAAGGCTTATTCTGAGTATTCTGAAATACTCCTTTAAATGTCTGCCACACTTCTCTGTGGATCTACCTCCTAGCCTAATATCCCTGCACACTTGAGTTAGCTCAGTCAGCCCACTTACCAACATTTGAGCCTATATCCCTCTAAACCCTTCCTATTCATGTGCCCATGAATATGGCATGTACATGTCTTAAATATAATTGTACCAGCCTCCACCACTTCCTCTGGCAGCTCGTTCCATACACACACCACCCTCTGCGTGAAAATGTTCCCCTCAGGTCCCTTTTAAATCTTTCCTCTCTCATGTTAAACCTATGCCCTTTATGTTTGCACTCCCCTACCCTGGGGAAAGGACCTTGGCTATTCATGCCCATATAGTTTTCCTTATTCAAGTTTTACATACTAACCTTACACCTACTCTTCTCCCCTTTCAAACTGGATGTAAAGTTCAATCATATGGCGGTCACTACAATAAGATGTACCTTTATTCCATGGTCATTCCTAACATTGCCTCATTACATAGTACCAAGTCTAAAACAGCCTGCTTTCTGGCTGATACCAGCACATGTTGTTATAAGAAACTGTCTCAAAAGCATTCTACGAATCGCCTATCCAGGCTACTGTTGCAAAGGCCACCATTTGTTGCTGATCCCTATTTGGCCCTGATGTGAGTGGCTTGTTACACCCATTTCAGGGGGTAATTAAGAGTCAACGACATTCTTCTGGGTCTGCAGTCATAGAGTTATATAACATGGAGACAGTCCCTTTGGTCCAACTCGTCTGCACCGAACAGACATCCCAATCTGACCTAGTCATTTGGGCCTATATCCCTCTAAACGCTTCCTATTCATGTACAATGAATATGTCATGTACATTTCTTAAATATAATTGTACCAGCCTCCACCATTTCCTCTGGCAGCTCGTTCCATAGACACACCACCCTCTGCATGAAAATGTTTCCCCTCGGGTCCATTTTAAATCTTTCCCCTCTCATGTTAAACCTATGCCCTTTAGTTTTGCACTCCCCTACCCTGGGGAAAGGACCTTGGCTATTCACCCATTTCTTTCCCTAAAGGATATTTAGTGAACAGGATGGGTCTTTACGATAATCAACACTAGTTTAAAGGTTACCAATAGTCTCTAATTTCAGATATATTTTATTTTCATTAATTATAAACTTCACAAGTTACTATGTAGCTTTGGAAGGCATGTTAGCTTGGGTCACTGAATTACTGCTTAAGTGAAAATATCAGGACACCATACAATCTGGTAGCATAATGGTCTAAGACCAATATTAATAACCTGTGAAGTCTGGTCATTGCTTTACGTAGGGCAAACAGGTACAGTTGCTACTTCAAGGGCTCATTTTGACCCCTACCACCTGAAAAGACAAAGACAGCAGGCTCCCCACCATTTGCAAGTTCCCATTCTAATCACACATCATCCTGACTTGGAATGACTTGGAATGATATTGGCCGTGCCGTCATAGTTACTGGGCCAAAAACCTGCAAGTGCCTCCCTCACAGTACCCGAACAGCAGGAAAAGAAGGTGGCTTACCCCTACCCTCTCAAGGAGCAATTGGGGATGGGGCAATGAATGAGAACACAGGCACTGACATTCAATTGGATCAAAGTGGAGCACCAATGTTAATGCCAGTTTCCTGAGCTCTCTTCATATTCCTTCATGTTATCAGTCTCCAGAAATCTACTGATTTCTGTCTTGAACCTATTCAATGATTGAGCTTCCACAGCATTTTGGGGTACAGGGTTCCAAAAATTCATCAGGCTCTGAGTGAAGAAATTTCTCCTCATCATGGAGTTAAATGGCCTGACCCTTATCCTCAGATTATGTCCCAGGATAGTAAAGTCACCAACCATAGGAAACATCGGCATCCATTTTGCCACGTACAGTAAAAATTTTGTAAGTTGCAATTAGATCACCTCTCATTCTTTAAAACTCTAGAGATACACAGGCTAGGTTCTCCCAACCTCCTCGCATTAGACAATCCAGCCATCCCAGATATTTGTCTGGTCCACTCTCAACAGCAAGACTATGCTTTCTTAGGTGAGGAGACCAAACTGTACAAGACCAGCCACAGTAAAAAGAGGCGCCCCTGGGACCAACGGGAGAGGAAGACCAGACGACCATCACCATGTGGATCAAAGCCAAGGTCTAGTGTGGTGCTGTTTGATTATTCCAAGTTAAGTTAAAGTACAAGATACTGACTTAGATTTACAGTGTTAATTGTCAGATTTATTGTGTTAATTGTTAGTTTGTAACATTATCATTATTATAGTATTAATTGTGTTTATAATTAATAAAGATCATTTCCTATAATATTAAGAGTTAACTCATATTTCTTGGCGGGATATACGAGCTAAACACACTGTGTGGCGAGTGTAACAAATTGGCGACCCAGATGGGTCTTGGTAAGAAGTGACTTTGTCACTCTGAGATCAAACCCCACAGAACCTGATATTCCCTGAAATTTTGCCTGAGCCCGAATTAAGAGGACTAAGTCCCATGTGACGGCCAGGAATTCAAGTAAATTGAAGGGAATAGAAAGGCCTACATCAGACTGTTCTTTAAAGAATAAAGCCAACAACTGTTTACTCCTAATCAAGCAGACAACTGTTTTGTTGTGCGCGCGCGCGCGTGTGTGTTTGCACGTGCATTCCTTAGTGGGCTAGGTAAGGTAAAACACTCAATGTTGGTACAAACCTGGTGGGATTAGGACCAGAATATAGCGAAAGCTGTACCTTCTGTCCAATCCACCCTCGATACCCCTTAGTTTAATCAGAAATGGCAGGAAAAGGCACCAGAGTAGAAGATTATTCAGTATAGGTGGCACGGTGGCTCAGTGGTTAGTGCCACTGCCTCACAGTGCCATGCACCTGGGTTCGATTCCAGCCTCGGTCAACAGTCTATGTGGAGTTTGCGCATTCTTCCTGTGTTTGCATGGTTTTCCTCTGGGTGCTCCGGTTTCCTCCCACAGTCCAAAGATGCGCAGGTTAGGTGGACTGGCCATGCCTAATTGTTCCACAGTGTCCAGGGAAATGCAGCGATAAGGTAGAGAGTAGGTTTGGGTGGGATGTTCTTCAGAAGGTTGGTGTGGACTTGATGGGCTGAATGGCCTTCTTCCACACTGTAGGGATTCTATGATAATATCCCAGGCGAGGTCTCACCAAGGCTCAATACAATTGAAGCTAGAGATTTTTACTTCTGCTTTAAAATGCCCTTGCAAAGAATGCCGACATACCAGTTGCCTTCCTGATTGCTTGCTGCCCATGTGTTCTAGCTTTCAGTGACTCAAAGAGGTCCCTTTGCGCACCAATATTTCCCAACCTCTCACTGCTTAAGAAATAGTCTGCCTTTGTGTTTTTTCTACCAAAGTGAACAACGTCACACTTATTCACATTTCAGTTTATCCTACATGTTGTCGCCCATTCATTTCATTTGCTCAAGATCTCTTGAAGTCTGCTTGCAACTCTCCCTGCAACTTACATTCCGCATATTTTTGACGCATTGGTAAATTTGGAAATACTAGAAGTGATCCCTGCATCAAAATCATTTGTATAGATTGTGAAGAGTTTATGGGCTGAGCACTGGTCCTTCCAATACCCCAAGAGTAACAGCTACCATCCTGAGAATGAACTGTTATTCCCAATCGCAGCTTTCCATCCGTTAACCAATTTGCAATCCATGCCTGTCAATTCCCTCCAGTCCCCAGTGCTCCTGTTTTGTTCACTAACCTCCTGCGTGGATCTTAGCAAACCTTTCTGAAAGCCCAAATACACCTACCCAGTTATGCCCATACCCCACAAAACAGTTACCAAAACAGCATTGAGGCAGCCAATTTGCTCCCAGGGACAAATGTCTGATAACTACAGTGCTGTCTGGGCAGGTAAAATAGCAAGAATTGGAAACACCGGGGAGGTCTTTCCTTTCAGTTGTGTCCACAGAATGTTTAGGAGGCACCTGACAGGAGTGGGCAGGACCTCAGTTTAACATTCCCTTGGAGGGACACCACCTCCTTGGGTGCTGCATCACAGCATCAGCCGCAATTTCTTTTGCTACTTAATCCTTCAGACGCTGCCCACTTCGCCATGTTTAACTTTACCTGTCAGTACCGACCCACGGCTCCTCCAGAAAGAAACAGTTATAAATGATCGACACTCAGGGAATGGGAACGACCTGCTGTATCTCGGTATAGTGCCCATTTATTGGTTAATTAGGAAGGTGCGCTTCACTCAGTTTAAGAATAGGCAGCCTCAGAATACCGTTTTATTACAAGTTTTAAGTCAGTTATTGAGGTGTAACTTCCTCAGCTTAAATGAAACTAGAATAAAACTGGGGTGGGTGTTTGGGGGCGTCTGTGGGGGTAGGGGGTGGGGGACTATTGACACTAGAGACATGGGACTGCACCTTGTTTCTGTTTGGCTTGTTTCTCATTCCATGTCCAGGAGTAAGCTTCAAAGGCCTGATGGAAGGCAGGATTCTTCATGGCCGCTTCAAATCTCTTCTGCATGTTCTGCCTCCTCTTCATCCTGGCCTCTTTAATCTTCTGGCTGTAGGTTTTCTTGGCCTGCTCCTTGGCTTGTTCCTTGGCTTGTTCCTTGGCCTGCTCCTTGGCTTGTTCCTTGGCCTGTTCCTTGGCTTGTTCCTTGGCCTGCTCCTTGGCCTGTTCCTTGGCTTGTTCCTTGGCTGGCTCCGGAGCTTGCCACTCGTCCGCATCCTTCTGCTTTTTCTCCGCTGCCTCCTCTTTCTCAGCCGTGGCCTTTTCCGCCTCCTTCTCCACCTGCTTCTCCTGTTTGGGGCTGGCAGGCTCTGATTGGGGCGGCGATGCCGACATTATCGGGCTCTGGCCTCCCTCGGGGGTGCGGGCCTCCTCGTCGAGTTCTGCTGCCTCGCCATAGTCCTGGGCCATGGTTATGAACTTGTTTCGGTAGTAGGCTGCAATGATGACTTTGCTCTTGGCTGAGAGCAGGGGTGAGTCCACCAACTTGTTGATGGCCTGGAACATGACCACGGGTGTTGCCACTGTGCTCTTGCAGGGCTCATACTCTGGAGCCAAGTACTGCGCAAAAGTGTTAGTATTGGTCATAATGGCTAGAAAGTCCTCAAAGCTCACCTCTTTGCCTGAGTTGACCTCAGTGCATTTCATCTCATTGGGGATTAAGGGGTTCTTTAAGTATATCTGCACCTCAGACATCATATTCAGGAGACTACTGACATTGATGCGATCTTGCTTGTCCCTGCAAAACATGTTGAAGACATTGCGGAAAGCTGTGACCTGCTCCTCTGTCAGGGGAGTCTCCGTATATTCCTCGTCAGGCTCCAAGATGTCCACGTAAGTTGCCAGGCTGTAGATTGACTGACCTAGGAATGTTGGGGGTGGGAGATATTGCTTTGGGCAGGTGTCGGGCTTCTTGGTCTTGAGCTTCTCCCCTTTCTTTTTCATGTAGAAATACTGGATTATTTTCTTTGTGGTGTCCTCAGGGAGCATCTGTGTTTGGATGAACTTGGATAGGATTTCAAAGAACACGGTGTTGTCTACGGAGCCCATCTGGGGTTGCGGGCCCTCACAGCGATCTGGCAGCTCCTTATAGAAGAGGAAGAAGAGACGGGTGTTGGTCACCAGCTTCAGGAAGTCGTCGAAATTTGCTTCCCCATCCCCATTTGAATCCAGCGCCTCCAGGATGTTGTAGATGTCGACCTCCTCCACCGGGATCTCTAGGGCCTCGAGTGAAGTTTTTAGCTTAGAAATGTTAATGACATCACTGTTCCCCTGCGTGAACTGTTTGAAGACCTCGTAAAAGGCTTCCCGCTGGTTGGGGGTCAGGGGAGGCTCATCGGGGGTGTCGTCCTCCTCATCCTCCTCTTCTTCATCTTCTTCATCCTCATCCTCATCCGCAAATGGGGGCATCTCACACACTGAGCCATCTGACTCCTCGTCCTCCGCCGAGGGCCTGTCCTTGTCCAGCTTCTTCTCCACCTGCTCCATCACCTTCTCCATGATTGAGGCCACCTCTGCCACCACCCTGTTCACCAGCTCCTCCACTTTCTTGCCCATCTCCTCCTCCGTGTTCAGTGCGCTCTCGGCCACCTTGTCTAGGGTCTCGTTCATAGTCTCCACCACCGTCTGCTGTATCTTCTCCTTGTTCTCCAGCTTCCATTTCTCTACCATCCTGTCCATCACCCTATCCATCATCCTGTCCATCACCTTATCCACTACTTTCTCCATCACCTTCCCCAGTCCCACCACAACATCTTTCTGTGAAGGAGTTTCTGCTGCTACTGTCTCTGGTTTTCCTTCCTTCTCTGGTTTTCCTTCCTTCTCTGGTTTTCCTTCCTTTTCTGGTTTTCCTTCCTTCTCTGGTTTTCCTTCCTTCTCCATAACTTGCTCCTATTTTTGGGGTTTTTTTTGAGAAATCCTCTTATGTTCGTCCAGTGCTCTTACGGAATCTAAAAGATTCTCGTCCTTCTCCTAGTATTTGCTATTCCTTTCGGAAACAGGCCTCCGTCCCAGACTCTGGTCCAGATTGGGTGCCTTCCCCCGCCTGATTCACTTCATTCAGCTTGACTTGTTTGCACATTTCATGACATACGATACATCAAACACATCAAGGTCTGATCCTGTCCAGCCTGGACGGCCCAATCAGAGCTCTGCCTCAGCCCTGTTCTTACAAACATGAGGGCCTTTCGGTATGACTTGGATTCTTTCTGAGGAAAAGGGGCAACATACTGTCCAACTCGAAGCTGTCATTGTACCTTGGGGATGTTTTAGCAGGTCCTCCACACCTCCCCCCCTCCCCCACCTCCCCACCCCCACCCCTCAGGGCTGTGATGTCTTGTATGGTTTGTGACCTCAGATGGTGATGTGTGTTACCTAAGTGTGTGATTAATTAAAGCCACACTGTTCAAACTGCAGACGTTTCTCCCTCCCAGCTCTCAGGCTCCGCCTTTTGCCCACACCCTCAAACCTGCAGCCCTCTCTCACCACCCAAACTCGGCCGTAGCCACTGGAGGTTGCCAGTGGTGCATAGAGAGGCGGGGTGGCGGTAAGTCAGTACAGGCTGCCAGGGTGCATGGTGGGCTGGATGCATCTGGCAAGTCTGTTTTTTTTTCTAGGGAGCAGCGAGTCGAGAGGTTTGACTGACCGTCACTTTCAGCTGCTGCAGCAGAGGTGGGGGTGGGGGGGGATGTAGCAGGGGAAGGAGCTCTGTTTGGTGTCCTAAAACTGGTACTTGTCCGTCATTGCTGGAAGCTAAAGAGGTCTGACCCCTCATCGCGTTGCTAATTGTGGGATCTTGCTGTGCACAAAATGGTGGCCCCACCCTTTGACAGACAACATGCATTGTTTGCGTCTCATGTTTGGGGTGTTGAGAGGTGCCTGAGCCCGGGCTGCCTTTGCTTTCTAATACTATTTCGATCAGAAATTCCCACGTCAACATTTGTGAGGGGAGGTGCCCATGTAAACACATCACACTGCAATTTCAGCTTCCCACCTGTGGCAGCACTATAGCGCAACGCAACAGGGCCCAGCCTCAGCAGCCAAGGGCTGCAGGAGGTAAAGGGAAAGTTACCAGACCGTTGGGCTGCTCTCGTTGAACTTCAGAGGGTCACCACGGCTCAGGCGAGGGGACAGGTTGAGAAGGAGAGTCCTTCACAGTGATCTCAGCTATCGGCATCACTCTACATTGCAAACCAGCTGACCAGCATAATGAGCTAATTGACCCCTATACCAAATAACTTCTGAAAGGTCCTCTAGCTCCCCACTTCACAATCTTGAGTACTACTGGATAAAGTTTCCATTTTACCACTTGATTGTATTTTTGTTACAGTGCCTCATCACAGAGGCTGTTTAACTTGATTTTAGGGATGTTTGAAAAGTGTAGTAAAGAAATAGAAGGACATGGTGACTTGGCAGTTCGGAGTCCTAATGTGGGCTTGAAAGTTTCCAGTGGAAAGACATTGAGGAAAATGGACGCAGGGGGCTAAGACTGTTTAATGTTGTCAAATACAGGCATACAAACAGAAAACAGCAAGTAATAAGGCTGGGTAATAAAATGGAACCTTCCAGTGGCTGTTCACTGCATGTCAGTGGTAGCTGTTTATTACATTCTGTCACACATTTGGCAGGCCAAAAGCTTTCAGTTACAGCTTGCATAAAACTCAATAGAGAAAACTCCCCCACACCCCCCCACCCCCCATTGCTCGACTCCCCTGCCAAGCCACTCACTTCACCATAGAAATTTTCCTCTTTCCTTTCTTCATCTGCTCCAGTCGTTTGTTTCGTCCTGCTTCCTCCATTTTCCATGTCCAGGAATACTGGCTGAAGATTGTGTTGAAGTTGGGGTTTTGGAGGGCCTTTTGGAATCGCTTCTGGAAAGCTTCGGATCTCCTGGCTTGCGACTTCCCTTGACCGTCCTGCACTGAGCCCACATCCGTCCCGTCGACGCTGTCTTTTGGGTGCAGCTTTCCACTGTAGGCTGCAGATGCCTCCCTTGATATATCCTGCCGCGACTGTCCAGCATTGTCCTCAGATCTTCCAGTGTGGTCCTGGCACTGTACTAGTGAGCCCTTGAACTTCTGATGGTAGTAGTTCATGATGTTGGTGGCTGCCCTGGCATCAAGCAGTGGAGATTGTAGGCTTTTCTCGATCACGTCAAAGAACAGAGCTTCGGTGGTGAAAATCTCTGCTGCATTCCACACCTGGCAGTTGGCATCCTGCTCCTGGTCCAGGAATTGGCTGAAGGTGCCCGTGTCACTCATGATGCCCAGGAAATCATGGAAAGTGACAGCTCTGCCTTCATTCACCGCCAGAAACTGCAAAGGAACTGGGACCAGCTGGTTGCTCACGTAGATGGACAACGAGTTCATGATTTTCAGCAGCGAGAAGTTGTCGATGTTGCCTTGGTTATTTCTGTCAAAGAACTCATAGAACTCCCGAAAGGCATCCACCTGTTGCTGGGTGAGAGGGGACTCCTCGTAGCTGTCGACTGGTTCCAGGACATCTATGTAATGGACTAGACGGTGAAGGGTCATGCCCATGAAACTAGGTGCCTGTACATCCCCACTGGCCTTCTTTTCCCTCTGATCTTTGATGCCAGCTCCTTTCTTCTTGGTGAAATAATACCTGACAATGTGCTTGGTCGAGTCGACAGAGAGCTCGCCTAAGCGTAAGATCTCTGCCAGGATCCTAAAAAACACGGTGTCAGTCAGGAGTCCTTTCTGAGACCTTGAGCAGTCACAGCTGTTGGGCAGTTGGGCAAAGTAACGGAGGAACCGGTCAGAGTCTGTGACAAACTCCAGGAAATCCTCGAAGCACACCTGCCTATCCCCGTTGACATCCAGGAGAGCGAGCAGCTCACCAAGCTTTGACTCGGTCAGCTCGATGTTCATTGTGCGCAGGCCCACACACAGGTTGTGAATGTTAATCACATCGTGGGCAGGAGGCTCTGAGAACAGCTTAAAGAGTTCATAGAATGCCTCCAGCTCATTCCTGAACAGGGACCACCTTTTGCTCTCACTGACCAAGGGGCACTGGTGGAGACGTTTGCTGTTGTGGGAGGGGCACGGAGCTTTCTGAACGTATGTGAGCATTGCAGGGGTCGGTAGGCAAGGGGCCATGGCAAATGGCATGGCAGATGTTGGCAAAGTGGTATTTGTCGTACGAGAGCTTGGCTGGAAGGATCCATGCAGCTGGGATCTTGATGGGGAAGCGGGGACAGGGAAAACTGGAACTTTAGAGGCAACTGAACCATTTTGCTTCACATCAGACCAATTTGCCTTTGATTTTTTTGGAAGCTGTTCCATTTTGACAATCTTCTGCACACCACCCTGTACTCTCCCACCCTTTGGACATACTCTTTCCACCTCTTCTTCAACCATCCTCTTTGTGTCTACCCTATGATCCACCTCAGGGTCCACCTGTCTTCTGTCTTTGCTCTTATCACCCATTTTCTCCTGTTTGTATTCCTTCTTGGCCGCTCTATGCTCCGCATTTCTTGCTTCCTCCATGTTCCTCTTCACATTCTTCTTCTCCAATGCTCTCACACCTTCAGTCCTTCTCCTCAAGTCTTCTTTCACATTGTGTTTTGCCTCATCCTTCTCCTTCGTCTTCCCCAAGTGTTCTTTTCTCTTCTCTTTCTCCTCTTTTGCCTTCTTCTCTGCCTCCGGATTATAGGCTATCACTTCTTCCCTTCCTTTTTGCAACTGCTTATCTTTTCTCTTTCTCTCTTCCTCCTTTTTCTTCTGCTCTTCCTCTTTTCTTCTTTTCCTCTCTTTTCTTTCCATTAGCTTCCTGCATAACCTCTCTTCTTCCATTCTATTTCTTTTCCCTATAGCTTCTTCAATCTTAAATTTCATCTCTTGCTTTATCTTCCTTGTCAACTCCTCTTCCATCCGATTCTTCTCATCGTCTAACTTGCGCTTAATCTCTTTCTCTATTTCATATTTCATCTCTTCCTCCAACTTACGTTTCATCTCTTCAGTCATCTTCAGTTTCTCTTCCTCCAGCTTCACTTTAATCTCTTCCTCCAAATTCTGCTTCATTTTCTCCTCCAGCTTAAGCTTCACTAATTCTTCTTCCAATCTGCGCATTATTTCATCCTCTATCTTATTCTTCAGTTTTTTTCCTACTTTGCTATCCAAATCTTCCTCCATCTCATGTGTCCCCTCTTCCTTCTCTCTCACCTTACTCAATTCTTTTCTTTCCTCATCTTCAACTGCCATTTCTCCTTCCTCTTCCTCCTCATTCATTTTCATCCCCTCTTTTTCAGCTTTCTCTTCTCTTTCTGTTTCTTCTTCCTCCCCTCCCATTTGCAGTCTTCTTTCTGCCTTTCCTTTTTGCATTTTCTCTACCTCGTTCATCTTTTCTTGCTCTTGCATTTCCCTTTTCTCTTCTTCCTCCATCTTTACTTCCTCTTCTATGTCCTCTTTCTCTTGTATTGTTTCTTTGTCCTCTATGTCCTCTTTCTCCTCCTCTCCCATCTTTTCTTCCTCTTCTATCTCCTCTTTGTCTTCCTCCCTCATCATTTCCTCATCTTCTCCTTCTTCTATCTCTTCCTCTCTCATCTTTCCTTCCTCTTCTATCTCTATCCCCTCCTCTCCCATCTTTCCTTCATCTATCCCTTCCTGTCCCACCTTTTCTCCCTCTTCTGTTTCCTCTTTCTCTCCCATCGTTCCTTTGCCTTTTATCCTCATTTTATCTTCCATCCTTTCTTTCTCTTCCTTTTCCATCTCTGTGTCTTCCTCCTTCATAATTTTCTCTTCTTCAATCTCCTCTTTCTCCTTCTCTTCCAAAGGTATTCCTTTTTCCTCTTCCAATTTGTCCTTCTCTTCTGTTTTTATTTCTTTTTCCATGTTCTTTTTCTCTTCCTCCTCTATCTTCTCTTTTTCCTCAGATTTAAGTTCATGTGTGTCTCCTATTTGCTCGCCCTCTTCCTCCTCATTAAAGCCGAGCTCTTTCTCCCCACCTTCAGACGTTTTGACCTTTTCCCCTTCTCCTCCCTCTTCCTTTTTTATTTCTTCTTCCCTCTCCTCTATTTCATTCCTTTCTTCCCTTTTGATTTTCTCTTCAGCTTCCAAATTCTCCTTCTCTTCCTCTTTGTCTTCTTTGTCCAATGTGTCCTTTCCTTCTTCCTTTTCGAGTCCCTCTTTCAACTGCTTTGTCTCCTCTTCCAATGTCTCTTCTTTTTTCAATGTTTCTTTGTCTTCCTGTTCTATATTGTCACCCTGTTCCATTTTCATCTGATGTTCATCGTCCTTCACCTTATTCTCATCCACCTCTTGATATTTTCTCTTCTCTTCCTCTTCCATTCTTTTTCTCTCTTCTTCAGCCATCTTTCTCTTCTGACTCTCCTCCTCAATTCTCTTCTCTTCACTTTCTCTGTCCGACTCGTCCTCTTCAGATTCCAGGCTGACTAACTCATCCGTTTCCTCCTCTTCCTCCTCTTCATTCTCACTTTCGAACATGGATATCTCTTCTCGCCACTCCACTTGTTCCCTCTCCTGCTCGTCATCTTGGCTGAAGCTGCAGACTTCTTCTTCGTCCTCTTCCACCTCCAGCCTCTTTCTTTCTTTTTCCTCCTGCCATTGCCTGTCTTCCTCTTCCTGACGTCTCTCGTTCTCATCCTTTTCTGTCTTCACCCCTTGCCGCTGCCTTTTGTTTCGCTCCAGATCATAAGTGTCAAACTCACACACTTCTTCTTCATCGTCATCATCGTCATCTTCAATGTGGAATTTATATTGAGGTTCAGGCTTAATTCTTGCCCCTTTGTGCTGCCTGGTCTCCATAACCCCCTCCTCCTCTCCCTCCTCCTTTGCCCTGTGACTGTGGTTAATTTTCTGATGATATTTTCATTATTTCCCTGTGGCTCTTCAAGATGAGCTTCTGCATGATATAGCCAAAAGCCTTGATAGATATTGGAGTAAAATCACCCTGCTGTCTTGACCGTGCCTCTTTTCGTTAAGAACTGAATTTCCTCAGTCATAAGAATATTTTCAGTATGTAAGCAACAAGATTGCTTGCAGGGTCCAGGGTCTACCGAGTTCCATGTTGTTGTTATCTTAGAATCTCTTCTGTGTCGCTCACAGACTCAATTCATGGTGCAAAACGTCACGATAGATGAACACCCTAGGCACCCAGGGCGATGAGTGTTCCAATCACAGAATGGCCTGTTGATCTGAAGAATGTGTGTGTATGCATTGGCTTCTTTTTTGGCAGAGGAGGAGATGTGGGCACTCTGCCAACAATCTTTTTGTTTTGTAAGACTTATTGAGCTTCGAATAGTTGTGGGTGTGTGCACTATGAGGTGTCCAATGTTTGTGATGTCACATATGATAATATATTAACTGTTTGGCATCAGGTCCTTTCGCAAAGTCAGGGAGGGGGAGGGCAGGGCTGGGTGCCCTTCATTTTGTTTTTTTGTGTGACAGATATGCTGTTGTGCATATTAATGCACTCCCTGCAAGGGATTCTTCACACAGTGCCTACAATTATTGCAATTAAAACACAGTTTTCCTTAGGCACAGGGTAACCCATTCCTAATTGCCTGTTGAGAAGGTGGTGATGAGCTGCCATGTGATGTAGGGATACCCACAATGCAGTTAGGGGCAATAGTGGTGTGAAGTTCCAGGATTTTAACCCAGAGACAGTGAAGAAACGGCCAATAGCATTCCCTGACGGGACAGCGAATGGCTGAGAAGGGAATGTCCAGGTGGCAGCGGTGTTCCCATGTATCCTGGGCTGTCAACGTCATCAGTTTGAAACATGCTTTCAGAGAAGCCTTGGTGAGTTGTTGCAGTGTGCCTTGTGGATGGGACACACAGCTGCCACTGTATGAGTGAGGTAGCGGGAATGAATATGGTGAACATGGTGCCAATCGAGTGGGCTGATTTGAGCTTCTTGAGAAACATCGAGGGAATACAGTGTAGAATACCCTGCATAAGACTGTGGTGGAGGCAGACTCAATCAAGGCTTTCAGCTTTCAAGCAATTATTTTTGAAGAAAGAAGAATGTATAGGTTTACAGAGAGAAAGCAGGTGAATGGCACCAGGTGTATTGGTTGTTCAGACAGCCAGCGCAGACATAATGGGCCAAATGGCCTCCTTCTGTGCTGTAATGATTCAGTGAAGTGGAGAATGTTCCATCACACGTGAGTTATGCGTACAGGAGCAGGGAGAGGACCCTCAGCCCTTGAGCCTGCTCTGCCATTCAATACGATCAGTTGATTGTGGCCTCAACCCCGTATTCCTGCCTACCCCCAACAAACCCAATTCTAACTTTTCCTCACCCCCAAGCAGCTATTCATTTAACCATTTCTGATTTACTTCTGGCACATTTACAACCTTTCTTAAATAACAAGACCAACGCTGTGCACAGTACTCCAGACATGGCCTCACCAACAACCTATACAACTAAAGCAAAGCATCCCACTTTTCTATTTAATTCCTGTTGCAGTAAGCAACAATATTGCATTTACCATCCTGATCACTTGGTCTGACTAACTAACTTCTTGTGATTTGTGTACCAGGACACCAGTATGTCCGGCAATTTCTCTCCACTTAAGTAGTATATTGCTTTTCTGTTTCCTGCCACTGTTATGTTAGATATTAGGAATTCTTACGCCCTTGAAAATGACTTGTCGAGATATATCAAGTTGGTCTCTAAATCGCCAAAATAAACTAATCTTCTCAGCTAACAAGGTGTAGAGCTGGATGAACACAGCAGGCCAAG